TATAAATGTAGTGAGATTGTGAGAATTGAGAATTTGATGAATTGAAATTGTAACTAATAAATTGAAAAAATTGAATTGATATTGTATATTTTGCAGCACAAGAGTGTAAAAACTCGATAATAGATATAATAAAAGAGAGTTGAGACTTGAGAGAGTTGTAATCTTGGAAGAGATTGATATGAAAAAATTTTTTTGGGGCAAGAGGGTATTTATAGTAAAAAAAAAATGGGAGGGAGAGAAAAAGAAAAAAGAAAAAAATAAGTTCAGTGACCAGAACAGTCATTGAACAAGGCTCGACGAGCCGCCCACGAGCGGCTCGTCTACATGGCTCGCCTACGGGCGAGGCCCGCTCGGCTCATGCTCGGGCTTATGATTTCACGAGCCCAAGCCCACGAGCCCCTTTTTCACGAGCCGAGCCGGCTCGGCCCAATTGACATCCCTATCTAGGCGATTACTAACGGTCGGCACTCCGCTTCTTGAATGCCTTGTAAAGTCTATTATGACTCTATTAACCTCGAAATATATTTATTATAACGAAGATTCAATAACTCATATTTTGGATTTGATCATAATTCGATTAACTCTTAACCCTCGTTTGGTACCCATTTTTTTCAAAATGCATTTTTCTCTCTTCTTTTCAACCACACATTCTTTATTAAAATAATATTACACATAAATAAAAAACTTTTTCTTATTTTTTAACCACATACTTTCCATCAAATTACTATTCTAAAATGCATTTTTACATAAAAACGCCTTTTAAACACCCCCTTAATACAATCCAATCAAAACATGATTTTCATTAAGGAAATTGCAAATTTAAATTTGGAAATTACTAATTATATAATTTGGATTTAATAATTTTCCGCTTTGACATTTCGTGACAAAATCATTTATTTCAAATTCGAAGTCAAACCAAAAACCCAACGACTTAATGTCCAAAATTTACTTCATCTTGTCTACCTATTTCCTAAAATACATGGAAACAACAATATCGCATACAAAATAAAAGAATAATGACAAGTAATAAAGTAGAACTAACAACTCAAAACATGACAACAATATTGAACAAAACGCCCAATCAAACATAATATAATATAAAAAAATTTGCTAGATCGAAAATTCATATTACTCAACTTCTCTCCCTAACTCATATTCAATATGTTCAAAAATTTCTCCCTCTAACTTATATATTCAACTCTCTCTCTCTCTCTCTCTCTCTTTGAAATAGACACTAATTTCTCCTCCTTTTTGTCACGAACAACAAAAGAAAAAATATTAATATAAACATAGATACCACCAAGAGGAATGAGTGAAAAAAAATATGCACATGTACAATTATGCAGTATATGTGATGGGAGAATAAAATAAAAAATCTATTTGTTTTTAAGACAACTATTTTTTTTTTCCATGGATTTTTTTAAATACAACATCATGAACAGATATTTGTTTACTAATACATATATAATTGATAAACAACGAACTTTTCTCATATAACTTATTTTAAACCTAAATTGAATGGGTTTAATATTGAATGAATTGTATAAACTATCAACTGTGAAAAGTGATAAGTGTATTTTGTACACTTATCTAGGCCAATAAGTTGGAGTGTTTGTTAGTGATTTGAATGGGTTATAGCTTAATTATATGTTAATTGTGTTCATTAGGTTGAAATCAATGCAAATTGGTGTAATTGGAAGAAATGAACGGAAAAGGAGCAAAATCCAAAGAAATCCAAAGTTTGGGACTAAACTATAAACTTTCAATAGTTGATTCGGACCATAAAATGATGATTGAAGATCATATATAATCAATTGGGTGCAATGTGGAGGTCAAAGGAGTGAAACCGAGTTGAAATATTTTCATAAATCAATTTCCAGTTAAAGAAGTTATGCTCTGAGTTTCTAGCCTTAACTTGAAACCCATTTTTTGGATAGCAAACATTCGAATTGGAAAAATTGTACCTTAGCCTGGAACTTCAAGGTAGCTTTTCCCTTTAACTCGGACCTAGTTCTTGTGGGTTAGCTTTCTCGCTCGTACTTAAGGGAAAGTCTTGAGCTTGCTTGGAAGACGAAGCTTTCAAGAAGCAAGCAACCTCTCCAGAAGAATTGTAACTCTCTGAGTTAGTTTTCCTACACACTTTAAATCACCTCAATCGGACACCAGGAAAGAAAGTTATGACCAAAATACCAAAAGTTATTTAGAAATAATATTGTGCAAAACGGCGCGCGTGGGCCATTCATGGTGCTCATGCGAGACACAAATTTCATGACCCGAGAGTCATATACGTCAATGGTGCGTGCAAGGTGGTTATGCCTATGTGCACGCAGGGCTTTTTTCGCAGATGAATTAGCATTTTCTTCTCGCGATTCAAACTCATTTGTAACCCAAATTGAAGGCAAGTTTGACATATTTTTCGACTCTTATAAATAGAAAACAAGGAGCTACACACAGAAAAAAAACCCCCCCTTTTACCCTTGCATAGACAAGAGTATTATCAAATTCATCAAGAATAAAAGGGTCAGTTACAATATTTTGAGATATGAGATTAAGCCATAGTAGGAATTGAAGCTCAATTATATCAAGAAATTGAAGAATTCAACTTTGAATTTGAAAATTAACATCTTTTGAATTCTTTCATAATCTGGGTGATATTTTTTCTTTATTTTTCTTGTAATTTATATATTAATATGCTAGGCTAGATCCGCATTTTGTATTAGATGAAGATGAACCATAATTGTTATTTATTTCTAATTCAAGACTAGTAATTTAATATAATTTTCGTGTTTCTTGATTAATTTTGTATACTCATTACATTATTTGATTGTTTGGCCACCAGTTAAATAATTAGTTATTTGTTGTGGTATTAAGAGACTTACAATAAGTTTAGACAATGATAAAATTAACATATGTGCAATAGATATTAGGAATAACATTTATCATGTGTGTAATCATATAGATAATCTAAACTATAATGCATTCTAACCATTCGAATTCGACTAGGAATAGATTTGGGTCGTGGTTAGGATAAATTTAATTGTCTTGAAAAAGAAAATTATATATCACAACTTTATCAATTGTTGACAATGCATGAACAAAACTAGATTACAAGTCAAGAATTGAAATATATAGCAATAGGCGAATTCGAAATCCAATACAATCATTCATAATTTGACAAAAATCAAACTTTTATTGCTTTCTTATATTAATTTAGAATAATCACAAATTCTCTTTTGTTTACATAATTCAAATTCCATGCATAATTAGTAAACTTGAATTGAAATTTATTTTCCGTAGTACAATGCTCTCAACTCATCGATTCTATTATCTGTCAACAATTCCGTACATTTGCGGGTTTCAACAAACAAAAAGTGTCATTAAACTTATGTAAACAAGTTTTGAAATCTTAAATCAATGAGAAATGACATGCAAATAATCACTGGTGAATGAATAAAGCAAACCCAATGCTACTTTCCTTATACACATCCTTTCCCTAAGTTGTTACAGTTGTAATTTGACTTCTCAAAAAATAACAGTTTATTTCACTGTTAGTCAAATGAATTTTCAGTGTAGAGCAATAGTTATTATTTCTTCTTTGGTTAAAGAAAGTATTTAAAATTTTAATCCTTACCCTGTTTCATTGCCATTCTTAGTTGTACTTTTGATGCACAAGTCCGTGTTTTTACAAATTTCATAAAGAATATATTAAACAAAGCGCACTTAAAATGTTTGCAGGAGGTATTTTGTAATAGAGTCTCATTTCAATTGAACTAATGAATGATATTTTTTTAAGGTCAACGATATATCAAAATTTATGGTGTTTAATAAATTTATTTTACAATTATGGACAGAGAGTAAACTATTCGAAGGGAACGTGGCTCTCACTATTGAATTGACATGTATATTATTTATTCCTGTTTGTATCTCCATTAGCTAGTAGGTCATACTTATTTAATACACATGTTAGTTCAACAGTGACATGAAGTAATGAGTATTAATAATAAAATAGAAGCAGTGGTGGCCCTGAGTATAGGCGAAGTAGGTAATCGCCTAAGGCCCCGCTTTGGTGAGGATCCCAAATTAATTTAAAGTTAATTGATTGATTGAAGAAAAATGAAAATTATATTTATGAAATTCTGAAAATAGAATTATCGTATGCAAACTTAAGAAACTAATGAAAATTGAAAATGCAAAAATCTTTAAAATATATATATGGCAACAAACTTATCACTTACATTTATTTATCACAAACATTATTTTCCCTATTTATAATTAAGTTGACACTTTATCTTCCAAACATTCATTTTCGTTTTCTTTAACCTAACAAAAGGTCTCTTTGTCTTCTCAAATTCTATGTCCAACAATCACCCATCATTATTTTTTCAACCCAACAAGCACTACAACATATCAACTCATCTATAGCTTGAGAAAAATGCTATCGATTATATTCTATAGCATTTTCCGAATGTTATTGTAGGTGGTGTTATTAAAAGTCATACCTGTATTATAAGACTTTTTAAATGCTATTATAAAGTGCTACAAAAAACTTTTAAATAGCATTCTTTTATTGTCATGGTTTTAATAATTATAACATTCTTTTAGTGCAATATTTTTTATACAGTAGCATTTTTTTGGGTTATATATTGGCTTTAATAACATTCTTTAGTCGTTATGATATATCTTCAATAGCATTCCTTTTTCATAGTAACTTTTTTTTTTAATATTTATAGCTTTTATTGTAATGTATACATAGTCAATAGCATTATTTTTTGGAATAAAAATATAAACAATAATCAAGGCAATAGGAAATTCCAAAACATGCATCAATATTGTCTTGTAGAAATACACAAGTGTAGTTGTTCAGTAGAAAAATATAATTATGTTATATACTAATAGCAATCCATACTTGAAAAGGAAATACAAAATTAAATTAGAATTATCTCATTCTAGATCTTCAAAAGAAAGTTTCTTGAATTCTTGCAACTTGTCTGGAGTAGACATCCATCAAACCAACGATGCATTTAAATCTGAAAATTAACAAAGTGAAACACTTGTTAAATTGTAAAAAGAATGTGAACTCAAAAAAAGTCAAAACTCTAATTAGTGGCGAAAATTGATATGGGCAAAATCAATGCTACCATAATGTAGGATTAAAATACAAGTGCCAATGCCACTCCCAAGACCAATAAACACCAAAGTTATCGTACCAAATCACAAAAGCCAAATGGAAAATCGACATACCTTGAAACAAAACGGGACCAGAAAACCAAATTGACAACCCAAGGAGCATGAAACCAACATATTACAATTATCTAGTTGCAACCTGGGAAGAGTGATGGAAGAAACCAAACTATACTTGTCATTGGAAACTATGTTGACAGGAAGTAAAAGCTCTTGAATATCCTTAAAGATCAAAAAACTCAATATGTGTACTTCAATAGTGCTTAATATTCTATCAAATAAGCTTAATTACCAGTTCAATCATTATAATTTGTCCATCAAATGTACCAGTCACTGTGATTAACATATCATACCCTGTAAAATAGCATATGCATAACTTAGTATGACAAAACAACTCAAGCGAGAGACAGAAATACTATTACTAATCTTATATAACAACTTCCGATGTTGCTGGTGGTGGAGCACCAAACACTTGCCCACATCATCATGTGGAAGGGGATCAATATAAACCAAGTCCAAAATTCCCCCATTGCAATGGGCAAATGAAATTTTAAATGTTTAAATTGCTAGTTGTGAAGATTTTATACTTTACAATCATCTAAAACCATAACAGTAGAGCTTCTTAGTTAGGTTGTTGCCCTAGAGGTCAATCCACCAACTTGATCAAACTTTGATACTAAGAAAACGTGAACTAAGTGCAAGCTAAATTAATTTTGTCAAAATCATTTGTTGGTAATGGTATTGACTAGTTCTTGAAATACTATTATTGTCAAAATTGCATCAAAACAAAGTCTGAAGTTCTATGTTAAAGACATGTTTGGCAGGTTGGAATCAACATGATTAAGTACCAAAAAGAAGTTGAACTTTTGTGTGTTGTTCGAGAATGACTAGTTTATCTAAAATGTATGATTTTCATTCTTCAAAAAGATATAAGGAAATCTAATTTGCACTATATTGGGATGATAAAGACGCAAAAGAAGGGCAACTTCCGACTTGAATTGTTGTTCAAGTAAGGTTCTAGCTTCCTCATTATGAGTTGGAATTCTCATCATTTTTACAGCAACTACTCTCTGCTTATGAATTCCTTTGCAAATTCTACTATGTGCACCAGAAGCAAACTTATTGCCTATAAATTAAATAACTGAGAAAGATCAGCCGTCCATTCCTCTTGATCTTCAGATGCTTCCCAATTCTCAACATTCTCAGAATCCAATATCATTGACCAAGATTCCAAACTGTCAAATCTCTTCCTCTCCATATTATCTGCATCATTATGTTCGCGAAGTAGAAGGAATTGATAAAGATTTGCTCTTCGACCTGCGCAGTCGAAACGGATTGAAACACGAGGTAGGCAATCGCCTAAGGCTCCGCTTTGGTGAGGATCCCAAATTAATTTAAAATTAATTGGTTGGTTGAAGAAAAATAAAAATTATATTTATGAAATTTTGAAAATAGAATTATCGTATGCAAACATAAGAAACTAATGAAAATTGAAAATGTAAAATTTTTTAAAATATATATATATGGCAATAAACTTATCACTTACATTTATTTATCACAAATATTATTTTCCCTATTTATAACTAAGTTGATACTTTATCTTCTAAACATTCATTTTGTTTTTTTTTTAACCAAACAATAGGTCTCTTTGTCTTTTCAAATTCTATGTCCAACAATCACCCATCATTATTTTTTCAACCCAACAAGATATAAATTATTTCACTTTGAATTAAAATTTTGAAGATTCAATGCAATTTAGTTTGATCTCGCTGCAGCCTTACAAGTTTCTTTCTTTCTTTCTCTTTTATCTTTAAAACATATACTATAGAGTATGTAAGTTGTTATTATATTGTTTTGTTTTAATCTCATGATAATAATATTTTTAGATATTTGTTGAAAATACTTTGAATTTAACAATTCTTTTTTCTTTTTCATTCAAATATTCCTTATTTTAAGTTAATTCCTTATAAATTAATATAAAATTAGAAGCTCCTTTATATTTGATCATAATTTTTATTATTTTGTTACATTATCTTTTGCAGTCAAAGTATCCAATTTTGTACATAAATCACTCAAATGTATATTCAATTTTATTTGAAATAGTTGTAGTGAAAAAATAATTATACAAATGAGCATACCCCTTTGTCATTGCATTGTAATTCTGTTTGCCAAACTTTACTTGTAATTTGTATTGCTGGTTGAAATTTGATATATTGCTTATTTTATTTTCAAATTTTGGGACTTAGTTGTCTGTGTTAGATTCTTTATAATTATATTAAGCCCCTGTTTGACATCAATTAAAATCTAGATTTCAAATTTTTAATCTAAGTCAAAATTGACAATTAATTTTAACCATATGTTTTATGGGTTCCAAAACTTGAAATCTACATATTCTATCTACTTCTGTCAAAATTTACTAAAAATTTGATTTTAAGGTTTGTTTGAGTTCCATTTTTCTCAAAAAAAAAAACATGAATTTTGAAATAATGTTACAATGGAGAATGTGTGGTTAAAAAATAAGGAAAAAGTTTCGGGTTTGTATGTAATATTATTTTATTGAGAAATATATAGTTAAAATGGTGTCGAATCACTGTTGAATAATATATTTTGATGAAAAATGGGATTCAAACATGCTAAAACTCTATACAAGGAGAATCAAAATATAGGACCCCAATTTGAAATTGGCATAAGGCCCCCAATATACTAGGGCCGGCTCTGGATAGAAGATAAGGTTGAAAACTCTGAACACCGATCACCAAGAAGAAGCCAAACTCAACACAACTTTGTAGTCATCCAAGCCGGCTCATTGTGATGTATATTATCTTGTGTAATACAAATTGTATAGATAATGGAGTTAGAGCATTTTCAATAGTAGTGTAAAATAAAAATTTTAAGTTTTATTTTACCTCTCCAATGGAGAGATGCAATGGAGATGCTAATTGAATTTTCGACGGAAAGTGTTACATTCACAAGAGACAAAAAGTGGATTTAGATCTTTTTATGAGAGCGAAATTTGGATTTAAATCCATCAAATTATAAATGAAGATCGATGCAAAAGTAATTTTAGAAATATCAATTTACACTCAAATTTATATCACAATTTTTATATTCTCTTTGTGTATATTATAATAAAACTTCTCAGCTTGAGCTTTGAAATCTTTGAAACGTAAAAGAATTTCGAATTTTTCAATGAAAAATGAGATCAGATTTTTGTTTTTGTTTTGTATATTCATTAGTAAACAGTAAGAAATATTGTGTATTTACCTTCAAGAGATGAAACTCAAATGAGTCTACACAAACAAGTATGAACAAGCTACAATGACAAATGTAATTCCAATAGATTTAGAGAGAAATGACTAATTATTTTGTTTTTCCTTGTGGCATTTTTTGCAAACTTCACTTATAACATCGATTTTGGGTAGTTCTTGAACTATATTTTCGTTTGGTAACAACTTCAAAACTTCAAAAATTAAGATGCCTAAATCTATCACGTCATCTGGAAAATTTCATTGTTATTAGTAACCAAGCAAGTGCTATTTGAAATATCAAGATTAAAATGAGATAATATTCAAGCTCAAACCAGTATTCGCAAACACACGATGTTTCCTCTTCAATGCAAATGTTTTAAAAACTGAACAATGAATCCTTTCTTCATTAGATGATCAATACTATCCAAATTATTTTGCAGTGTAGGCACATAATGCATTATAGACATCTACTCAACCTACTTAATATTTTGAAAGCAATCTCCAACGCCTTGAATTTGTAGCACTTGGCCTTCATCTTTAATTTCACTTATTTGTGATTAACTTCTGTTGGAAAAATGGTTTGGTTAAGCTTATTTTTGGCACAATTTTAGGTGGGCATGTTGGTTCAATTTGTAAAATCAAAGTTGATCAGTATTCTCCTCTGTGAGAATTGAAATCATATGTTTACTTGTCAAAAAAGATAAACAAGTGTATGAGAAATTGGAGTTCAAAGTGAACCATTAGAAGAAGGTTTATGTTGGAGGGAAAACTATATTTAAGTTTATCTCATATAGGAAGTTGATGAAAGCAATGGCCACTTTATATATGGTTACACTTTGAAATTGTGTAATCATGTGTAGAATAGAGGTTATCTCCATGTACATGCATGGAGAATGCAAATCAAAGACCAAAATTGTACGTTGAGTCTTGAACTTGAGTGTGAGAACGACCAGCGTATATGAATGTCAGATTAAACGGAGTAAAAATTGACCCCTTAGGAGTGTTCATGTTTTGCTAATTTTTTATTTTCTCCAACTGACTTTTTAGCTTCTGAAACTCTAATGGTTATTATCATTGTAATATTGAGTTAATAGACAGAATTGCTTACTATTCATGAGGGCTAAGTTTATATTTGAGCTTGTGTTCTGCCATTTAACACCAGAAAAAATTACAATACACTTCTGCATAATTTTCAATTTACTCTTCTGCATAGTTTCCACTTCCAGTTTTCAAAAAAATTTCATTCCCACCTAAGTCTTGGTGGTGCTGTTTAGGCAAAAATTCATTTCGTCAGAGTAGAAATCGAAGTGTTCAGATTCTACCTGTTTTTCCTTTTATCCCAAGAGATAGATGTCCAAACTAACATCAAACACCTATGGTGAGGGGGTGAATCTGTTTTAAGAAAATTGCGTATACATAGGTTTTGGATTGCAGATTTATAGTATTTTCAGCGGTTCATATATTTTGGTAGTTTTCATTCGCTGTTTTGTTTATCTTCTTACTGTAATAAAAAAAGAAGAAAAATTATATTATTCTATATTTGTATAACAACTTCATAAAAAATTGAATTTTTTTCCTATAATCATAAGCGTGCTAGCTCCAGCATCTATATACAAAACATTACCTACATTTTTAATCGGAAGCAATTAATAAAGTTTTGTGAGAATTTTCTTATTTATTTTCATGCATCAAGCTAGCTTATTACAACTCTAACAATCCACTCACGTTGGTAGATACAGTTTGGAGAAATTCCCCGCATGAGTTTTTTTTTTTTTAATCAATAGTCATTGTTTTTCTGAGTTCTATTGCAAATAATAATAATAATTATTATAATAGAAAAAATAAAAAAAATAAAATCAACATAGCCTTCATTATCTCTTTGATGGTAAGATTCGCACCCTCTTCTCCTTGAGAATTATGAAATTATAGTTCTCGTTCTTTGAATCTTTATTGCCTCTACCATGTCCATGTTGATTATAGGAGTATCTTTCGTCTCCCCTTCCTTGTCCACCATGAGAGCCATGCTCTCTTAAATATACGTTGAGACTTTAAATGAAGTAATTTGAGAATTTCTTTGAATAATTTGAAATTAATGAGGCTTCAATTTTCCTTGCAATTTTTCTAAAGACAGAGATGAAAGATCTTTTGATTCTTCAATACCAACCACCACATAATCAAACTTACTTGGTAGGATTTGTGAAAAAATTTCGACAACCCTTATGGGTTTCCAATAATTATCCATTTGATGTCATCTAATTTATAATAGAACTCACTTTCCTAAAAATATTCTGAATTTTTTCATTGTCTTTTATCAATAACTTCTCAAATTCTGTCCAAAATGATTTCAAATGAACATTCTTCACTTGATCTTGGCCTGAATGAGTTGCATTGAGAATTTCACATGCCTCCTCTGCCTTAGATATCCTTTCACAGACTAGAATCTCAATTGCTTGATATATTTGAAAAAGTGTCTTCATATTTGTTTTTTGATCTTATTCTTTAACAGATTTCTCAGTGCTTCAGATAATTGGTTTTTATTTTCTAGTTGTTTTACTCTTTCTTCAACAACGCTGACCAATCCAGTAGTC